TATATTCACCAAGGCACTTCCGCCTTGTGATCATCAGCGCTTCTCTACTGTGTTAGGCCTTGTGCCTACTTTGCCTCACTTGCTTACTGCGTGACTTTGCTTGTACTGTGATCTATATATATACCTGCATGCTTGCACTTGCTAGGGTATGATCATTGTATTGTTGTTCTCTTTTATATAACTCTGCATGTGAACTAGCCTTGTGGCCCTTTGCTTGTGCTCGGACTGTGTGGTGACTTTGTGATCCACCCTGAGCTTGCTTTGTTTTTCTTGACTGGTCTTGTGACCACTTGTTCTCCCCCACTTTGCCTATGGGGGTGTGTCAAACTTATATATAGCTTACATTGTGTAGGCTGTAATGGGGTAGCCCATAAGGGGTAAAACCCAATTAGGGTTAGTACTTGTACCCAACTTCTGCTCAATGCATTCATTCTCGTTCGTTACTTTGACAGTAACAGCAAGTCAACCAGAGCGGTTGACAACAGCAAGAGGTTTAGTGAATGTCAAAGGTCAGCGACCTTTGACTCGCCGAAAAGCAGCGCGACAGCAAGGACACATAACCGACTCGCTACTGAGCAGTTACCCGAGTCGTTGCTGTATCGAACCGCAACAGCAGTTACAGTTAAACCTTTCATATTCCTTGTAATCATATAAAGCCTTGTATCTCTTTGCTATAATCAACTCATCTTGTTCTCACATACCAGTGCAAGGTGGTTCAATTGGTTTACTATTACGCTTCCGCTAATACATCACCACTCTGAGACTTTAGTCTTGAAAACGATCCTAAGGGCTTTCTCAGCCCAACATCATCCACCATGTCCTTCCTCTCCCTGTCTACCAAGTCAACATCCACCCCGCCCATGGACAGCGCAGCCCGCAACAAGATAACGCGAGCCTGCCCCGGTTGCAAAACCACCCCAATAAGCGTCTTCGAAGACCCCAAAAGATATGACGAGAATGACGTGTCATCTTCACGACAGGCTCCTTGCGACACAGCTAACCGTAAGTGAGCGTCCCTCTGCTGACTCAACCAACGTCTGAAACGTCCACCCAAACACCCACACGTCTCAACAATCAAAGGTGTGAACTGCACCCCCCGATTGCTCGCTAGCAACGACGCGTAATCGTTCGCCTTCCGTCGCTCCCACTCCTTGGTCGCCACGCCCACAGACCGCCCGCACTGCCTGGCCAAAGATGGAGAGAGCGACAAGGGGTCTGCAACACTGATCTCCAAGGCGTGCGCCTCTCCGTCTATCGGTCGACGCACTGCAACATCCACACGTTTTCCCGGCAACAACATGTCATCCTCCATCGTCACCACCCTCCCGGATGCTTTGGAAATCTTCGCCACCGCAAACTTCACCTCACCGTGCACTCGAGAGGGACCGTGCTAGTACTTGCATCGCAATGCATGGTGCGGGTCCACCGGGTCCGCGTACACCGTGCCGCATACACAATGCCCTGCCACGTGCAGCTGCTAGATCGGAAGGCCCAGACGCACAGCTGCAGCAATGCTCCACTCAGCAGCTGTGAAGGTGAAATCCGCATGAGCTGGGATAGCTGAGACCCATGCACCAGCCCCCGGGCCCTGAAGGGATGTGAAACGGGCCAGGGTGGCATCGTCATGGGCCAATCGGCGCATAGCCTGAAGTTCCTCCACAGCCAACTGCCGCAGCCGCGCCTGGAAGAGACGAACGGGGGGGGGGGGGGGGGGGGGGGGGAGGGCAGCGACGCAGATAGGCAGGCTTGGCATCTCTCGGCATACAGCCTCTGGCAATTGCTCGAGGCTCTTGGAGAACCAGGGGTCAAGAAAGTCTACTCCCGCCACAGTCCTGAGATAGTCCGCAAACATCGCCTCTTCACCTGCTACCCCCAACTGCGAAATGTCACGCGCAGCCTGCGCCCACCCACAAGCGTAAGACAGCGGACTCAAGGAAGTCGCTGCTCGAATTCCAAAGCCGCCGAGGCGAACAGGTAGGTGCAACTGCAGGCGAGCCAGCCTAGACCGTGCAGGGTCGAACTCCCAGGTACCAGACGAGAAGAGCTGCTCGAAACATTCCTCCAGATTACTGTCCCAGTCACTGAAAGCGTCCACCACCTCTGGCCGCGGCGGCACGGTCCACGCGAGGTACATCGGCCGCGCTGAAACAGCGATAGCCAAGAGGTGTGACGCCATTTGCGGGTGGTCAAGCAAGGGGAGCCACGGCAAGGGCGTCTGCAGCTGCCGAAGCCGCTCCCGCAAACGAGCCACCTCCCAGTCCTCTGCTCCAATGGAACCCCCACCACTGTGAGTCCCTCCTCCACTTGCTGCATGCCCATAGGCATCTCCTGTAGCGTGTCAGAGGCCTCCCGTACCAAGAATCGGCACTTGGGGGCCTGCACCTCCAACCCCACCTCTTGCAGCCGTTCCTGTAATACGCCAAACGCCTCCAGAAGCCTTGCCGCCGGGCCCAAAATGTAGGTATCATCCGCATAGCTCAGGAAAAGCAAATCGGCAAACTCTCTAGTGACCGGCTCCATGACCAATTGCTGCGTGAATGCGAAGAGGAAAGGCCCGAGCGGATCCCCCTGCCGGGATCCTCGTGCTGAAGCAAGAGTTTCTACAAACGGGCTTGGCCGGAGATAAAGATCGCTAGGTGTCCCGTAAAAGATGCCCAAGAATGGGATGAGACCCAAAAAGGGGGACTCCCGCAGCCCCTCAAACATCGCCTGTCGGTGGAAGGAGTTGAATGCGTTCGCAACATCTATCTGCAACGCGCACCAATATGTGTGAGTAGTCAGAGCCGAGCGAAAGGCGTGAGTCAAAATCTCCATTCCTACGCTGGTGCCAACGCCCAGGGCTCAGGTTATCAGTGTAATTTACCCTTCTATACTGATTACAAGGGTGAAATTTTGGGTCTACACTGATGTGCTGGGGTAAAAATTTGGTGAGTTAGTGTTACACTGATCTGTAAGTGTATCGACATAGGCCACACTGATGCCTTGGGGTAAAATTTCCCTTAGCGAAGATTACACTGAAGAGCGTACGCCCCCCCCCCCCCCCCCGCTTTTCCCCGAAATGTGTCAGATCGTGATTTCCGTTTATCATGCAAGTGCCAAGGATTCCTTCCGTGCAGTACGTGGGTTGGCCGCAGTCATGTGTCCGATTGGTCTGATAGGAATTATTCCCTTGCCAGCACGCCACGAAACCGAACATTGGCAGCAACTGCAGTATCGCTGCCTGCACTAGGTCTAACCACAAGACTATGCGAACATCTGTCACAGGGCTGATTTTATCAGGGTAATTACCCTGATTTCAGGGTGATTTCAGACTTGTCACTTTCTGGACCCTGAGAAATCAGGTTTTTCACATCTTGGTCCCTGATCCATTCAGAGTATTGCTTTAGCGGACCCTGAAATTTTGTGTACACTCTCAGTGTAGGGTTTTCACGGACCCTGTCAATACAGAGTACGAGGCCTGTGGACCCTGAATGCGATGTTATCGGGGCGAAGTTTCTCGGAAATTTCCTCCTGATAACCTCTTCGCATTGATTTCAGTGCCCCCCACGTGCGTAATCCTCCCCCCCCCCCCTCGCTTTATCGAGACGAAGTTTCTTCGAAGTTTCGTTCCCATACACCCACCATCTAGATCGGGCGAATCTGTAATGTCATACTTTAGGTTGCTGTTATTGGTCGAAATAGATGTGCTCTAACACAGCGCCAGTCACATCGCCACAGTGCCAGTCACATCGCCACAGTGCCAGTCACTTCTGTCCTCGGTAAAGAAAGAGCGCGTTACTACGACCCTGATTTTCAATTCTCTACCCTGAACATTCAGAGTTCACTACTTCTCAACCCTGAGCAATCAGGGTGCTGTTTTTCTGGAAAATGTGCCTTCAGGGGATTTTTTTTTTTTTTTTTTAAGGTTGAAATCAGGGTACCTAAATTTGAAAAGTCAGCCCTGATCTGTCAGCGTTCGAAAAAAAACCACACTGATGATGCAGGGTAATTTTTTCAAAACCTGATGTTACACTGCTCTATCAGTGTAACGGAAAAGTGCACACTGCCCATAAGGGTTTTTGAAAAAGCTACACTGCCAATCGTGAGTAGGCCAAATCCAAAACGAAGCCCTGCCAACGCCCAGCTGGTGACACGGCTGAAAGTGGGAGGCCATCGCTGGTCTGAGTGTAATGCAGAGTACTCGTGCAAGGATGTGCGGAAGGAACTCTCCAATGGTGCGGGTTGGTCTAGTGCTCTGGGAACTGTAACGGGTGACAGGAGAGAGAAGGTGCGGGGAGGAGTGATGGGAGGTGAGTAGGGGAGAGTGGGAAGCTGTCAAATCAGGATTACACTTATTTATGTGAAAACAACACCGTCACCATGGGGATGTAGCTCAGATGGTAGAGCGCTCGCTTAGCATGCGAGAGGTATGGGGATCGATACCCCACTTCTACAGATTTGCGGGGATAGCACAGTTGGGATAGCGACAGACTGAAGATCTGAAGGTCGCGTGTTCGATCCACGCTCACCGCATTTTGCATGTATTTCCTTTCATCTTGTTATTGTAAGGATAGAAGGGCTAGCACAAGGGATTTCTGTATTTTGTCTGGCAGCGGTTCTGATTCTGACAGAATGCTTCCCCGCTACAATGATCGGGAACTCTCTCTAGTACTATGCACTTGAGTGTTGGATTTCCATTCCATCTTTCTGAGACTACAGGGTGTTCAGCAGGCCATGCCATGAGAGTTGTACTTAATCCAGGACAAATACCGAAACAAGCCCTGAGCAAAGAATCTGAGCATTGCTTTCTCTGTTGTTTTTTCTACGGTAAGTACACAGTTGTGGCTGAGATTCACCAGTGTTTTCAAACCATGTCATTAGAGTATTCTTAATCATGTGTGTATGATTGGATTGGATTGGACACATTGGGCTTACAAGCACGTTCCCCCATCTTACACTTTTTTTTTTCCCTTTCTTTCTTTTACCTTCCAACACTTCCCCTCTCCCTCCCCCCCAATCCATCATCTCTGCGTCACCTTCCACTTCTCCACGTTCTCCCCCTTCTCACCCTCCCCTTTCTCCCCATTCTCCCCAATCTCCCTCCTCTCACCCTCCTTCTCACCCTTCCCCTTCCTCCCCTTCCCCTTTTTCTCCTCCTCTCCTCCCTCTTTCAACCCCATATCTAGCTTCACCCGCACAGCCTGCCCCTTCCGCCTCTCACAAAACCTCTCCACAGCCTCCTCCCCCACCTCCCCGCCTTCCCCCACCTGCAGCCCCAACCGCCTAAGCTTCCCCCCTTCCCCCCGCGCAGGGGACTGCCAGGGGGCGTCCCACCAGGCATAGGGCAGGGCGGGGGAGAGCGCGCACTGGGGGGGCTGGGCGGGGCAGGAGAGGCGGCCTGAGAAGGTGTGCCAGGCGTGGCCCCTCCCCCCCTGGTTGGCTAAACCGTTTTCCAGTAGGTGCGAGTGGAAGGCGCTCAGAAGGAGGAAACGGGACGCAGTGGGCGAGGGGGTGTCCTCTGGTGAGGGTGAAGGGGAGGGGGAAATGGGGAAGGGGAGGGGGAAATGGGGAAGGGGAGGGGGAAATGGGGAAGGGGAGGGGGAAATGGGGAAGGAGAGGGGGAAATGGGGAAGGGTGCACAGAAGCGAGAGTGTGAAAAGAAGCAAGTGTGAAAGACACAAGGGCGCACTGGGGGGGCTGGGCAGGGCAGGAGAGGCGGCAGAGAAGGGGTGCCAGGCATGGCCCGTCTGGCAGCGGGTAAAGAGGTGGCGAGATGAGAGGTGGTGGTGAAGACGCTTGAGCGTCCTGCAGAAATGAAGGCATAACGCTCCTGGGCAGGGTGAGAGTCAACACACCTGCCCAGAAAACAACATACCTCACCTGCCAACTGTCAGAATGTTATGTTTTGTCTAGCTTGCAGTAGGGTACTCAATAGTGAGTACAGCCCAATTTAGGGTTTGCTATATGTACTCAACTGCTTGCTAGTGAAACCCCCTCTTTCTCATTTCTAACTTCCTTTGGTTTCTAACATGGTATCAGAGCAGGTCGACCCCCTCGGGTCGATCCTGTGTATGGGCCCACCCAACACTTCCGCTGCTGCTACTCTGTCTATCGCGCGCCTCGGGCGCGCGCTGCCATGGGCGCGCGGCCATTTTTCTTCCCGCCGCGCGCTCGAGGCGCGCGGCGGTTTTCTGACCGTCGCGCCGCCCTGGGGGCCGCGCGACGCCCTTATCTGCCCGTCGTGCGCCCCGTGGCGCGCGGCGGTGCCCTGCCCGTCGCGCGCCCCGGGGCGCACGGCGGTTTCGTCGCCCGGGGGGCTCGTGCGCGGCCCCCCCTCGTCGCCCGTCGCGGCGCCTACGGGGGCCCGCGCGGCCCCAATTCCCGTCGCCGGGCCCCCCCCTTCAGTCGCCCCTCCCGTCGCCCGTCGCGGCGCCCGGGGGGGGGGGCCGCGGGGGGGGGGGGGGGCGCGCTTCGCCCCTCCCGTCTTCGTCGCGGCCCTGCCCAACTGCCGCCCCTGCTGCTGCCCTGCCCTGTGTTGGGGTTTGGGGGTGGCGAGTGTGGGGGTGACGAATGTGAGTGGTCTCCCCTACTCCTCCTCCTCCTCCTCCGTCTCCCACTGCTGCAGCTGCCGCTGAGGGGGGTGGGTGTGTGGGAGCCTATGGAGTGGTGCTAGGGGGTGGAGTATGAGTAGTGCTAGAGGTGCAGCAGGGGGTGTGTGAAAGGGGGGTGAGACAGTTAGAGGATGTTGGGCGGAGGCAGCTGTCGTGTCGCCAGCAACGCCAGTAGTCCGGAGGCTACAATCTCCGGTAGCCCAGCGAGCCTGCTGCGCCAGTCGCCCGTGGGTCCGTTGCTCCTGCAGCTCAGAGTTAGTCGCGGAGCCAGTTACTCCAGTAGTCCGGAGGCTACAATCTCCGGTAGCCACAGTGCGCGCCGCTCCTGTTGCCCGTGTGTCTGCAGCTTCACCTGTCGTCTCCTATCTCTTCTCCTCTCACAGTCCCTCCTCCTCCTCACTTACCATCTGTGACTGCCTCTAGCTTTGCTTATATTTGTGAACTATAAACTGCTACTTCTTGTACTTGTGCTCAGAATGTGTGGTGACTTTGTGATCCACCCTGAGCTTGTTTTGCTTTGCTTGTTGTGCTGATTACACCCCACTTTGGCTATGGGGGTGTGTCAGAATGTTATGTTTTGTCTAGCCTGCAGTGGGGTACTCAATAGTGAGTACAGCCCAATTTAGGGTTTGCTATATGTACTCAACTGCTTGCTAGTGAAACCCCCTCTTTCTCATTTCTAACTTCTTTTGGTTTCTAACACCAACATGCCTCACCTAGGCTCACAGCTCATGGCAGCTCACCTAGGCTCCTGGCAGCGGCTAGAGAGGCAGCAAGCTGAGAGAAGGTGGTGAAGACCCTTGAGCGCCCCACAGAGATGAAGGCGTAGCGCGCCCAAGTGGGCTGAGGGGCCTTGTGGCTGGCAACCCAGAAAACAGACATATGCCAACGCGCCTCACGACAACTCACCTAGGCTCCTGGCAGCCGCTAGAGAGGCGGCAAGCTGAGAGAAGGTGGTGAAGACCCTTGAACGCCCCGCAGAAATGAAGGCATAGCGGGCCCGGGCGGCGAGAAAGAAGTCGACCAATGCCACCCAGCGGGGCAGAGGGCCCCAGTCCCGCACTCGGAAGGATGGGAGCTGCGGGGGCGGGAGGGAGAATGCAGAGAGGGGAGAAGCGAGCATAACAAAAAGAAAGGTTGACAAAAATGTCGCTTGGAAATTGTTGAAAGGATACAAAAAGATGCATTTAAGTTGACAGAAATTGTTGAGCGGCAATGTCCCTTCAGAGGCTGCAAAGATATGCATTGAAGTATATGTATGAAAAAGCATGCTGAAGCTCGGTAGTGCTGCTGCAGGTTTTTTTTTTTTTTTTTTTTTTTTTTTTTTTTTTTTTTTTTACAGAAGTGCTGCTGCTTACTGATTTGTTCTTTGCAGAGGCAAGGGGGCTCTCTGGATGTCGGCGCACGAACTTGGCATGATCAAAGCGAATGATCTGATGGGCGGGGAGTAAAAAGTGGGGGAACGATAGGTAGGGAAGCGGGATGCAGTGGGTAAGGGGAAAGTGGTGCGAGGGGGCTCTCTGGGTGTCGGCGCACAAACTTGGCATTGTCGAAACGAATGATCTGATGGGGGGGGATAAAAACGGGAGGGGGAAGGGGGGGGGGGAAAGAGCAGGAAGGGAGGGGGACGAAGTGGGGTAAGGGACCGTTGGTGCGAGGGGGCTCTCTGGGTGTCGGCGCACAAACTTGGCATTGTCGAAACGAATGATCTGATGGGGGGGGGGAGGGGGAGGATAAGGGGGGAGAATAGGGAGGGAGGCAATTGAAGCGGGTAAGGGACCAAGTTTGGTGAGAGGGGTAGCCAAAAAAAGACGGGAAACTGGTGAAGGGAATAATGAGGTGAGGCAAGATTGCGGCGAAGGGAAAACGAAGTAAGGGGGGGGAGGGTGCGGTGAGGGAAGAATGGTGTGAAGGGAGAGAGAGGTGCGGGGAGAGTGCTCCCTCCTTTGCAGCACAGTTCACCCACCTTGGCAAAGTCAGACGTCACCACTCCTATCCTGCGCCTAACCTGCGCCTATCCTGCGCCTATCCTGCGCCTATCCTGCGCCTATCCTGCGCCTATCCTGCGCCTATCCTGCGCCTATCCTGCGCCTATCCTGCGCCTATCCTGCGCCTATCTTGCGCCTATCTTGCGCCTATCCTGCGCCTGTCTTTCGCACCACGCTTGGGTGATCCGCAAATTCGTGTGCCGACTCAAACTAAGGCCTGCCAATATTCTTATCGGTTGGAAAGGCAAGGAGCAGCACAGTAGACCCACCTTTGCAAAGTCGGGCGTCACTGCACCTATCTTGCGGAACACGCTTGGGTGATCCGCCACCACCACTACCCTCAGCTTGTACTAGTCAGGTGACTTTTGAGTCGACTCAAAAGCCACCACCACCCTCAGCTTGTACTAGTCAGGTGACTTTTGAGTTGACTCAAAATCCACCACCACCCTCAGCTTGTACTAGTCACTCATTGCCTTCTTGCTCCCTGCTCTAATGCCCCCCTTCCCTCCGGGACCCACCTTGGCAAAGTCAGACGTGAGAGCTCCTATCTTGCGGAACACACTTGGATGATCCGCAACCACCACCACCCTCAGCTTGTCCTTATCGCTCGCCGCGTTCTTGCTCCCTGCTGTCTTGTTCTCGCTCCCTCCCTCCTTATTCCCTCCTTTCTCATCCTCATCCCCTGCCGCCTTCTTCTGTCCTTGAGTCCACTTCATCTTCTTCCCCTTCTTTGCCTTCCCCAATTTCGCAGTCCCCGGCTTTCCCTTCTTTGTCTTCCCCGTTTTCGTCTTTCCTACTTTCGTTTTTTCCTTCTTCGTCTTTCCCTTGGTTGTCTTGCCCTTGCCCTTCCCCCCTCCCCCTTTCTGCTTTTGCATCACCAACGAGTCGCGACGCACAGTCGCACGCTCCAACTGACCTTCCTCTTCCCCTCCACCCATCCCCTCCCCTCCTCCACCCCTTTCTCTACCCACATCCTCCCCTTCTCCACCCACCTCCTCTTCTCCTCCACCCTCTCCTCTACCTTCTGTCTCTAGTAATCGTCTGCCTCTGCCCCACCGAATCCTCCCCTTCCCCCACGCCAGCAACCTGCTCCCCATACTGCCTGGACCAACGCCTGTTGCTCTCATCACTGCACGTCCTTCACCTCCTGCTGGCCCTGCTGGCCCTGCTGACCCTGCTAGCCCTGCTGGCCCTGCTGGCCCTGCTGGCCCTGCTGGCCCTGCTAATACTGCTCCGGCCGTTGCTGTTTCTACGGATGCTCTCAATGCTCCTGTTGGTGCTGGCAGTGCTGACAGTGCTGCTTCTTTTGCCTCTGCTGCTGTCAGTGGTGCTGTTGCTGCTACTGCCTGTATTCTTTTAAGTGCGTCTGCTTGCTCCTTCTGCTGCTCGTCCTGCTGCTTCACCCTATGAATGTGCTCCAGGGCCTTTCTCAGGCAGAGAGCGGCAGCAGAAGCCACGGATTCCAGTCTGCAGCAAGACCAAGAGAGACGGGGGAGAGGGGGAAAGGACGAGACGACTTTTGAGGCACCTGAAAATACCTGCTGCTTCACCCTATGGATATGCTCCAGGGCCTTTCTCAAGCACAGAGCAGCGGCAGAAGTTTTGAGACCTCTCAAAAGTAGAGCAGCAGCAGAAGCCACATATTCCAGCCTGCATTGAGAGAGGGGAAAGAGGGCGGAGTGAGTGACGACTTGTGGGCAAACCTACTCCCCTCTACCCATCCCTTTCCACTCCACCCACTCCACCCACCCACCCACCCACGCCCCACCACTCATCCGCCGTGCCGGAAATGAATGAGCACGTCCGCACCCCTCCCTCCACTCCCCAGCGCCCATTCCAATCCACGCCAACCCAAGCCAGCCCTAGCACCAGCATAGCAACCCACACCCCACCCCAAGCCACTCACCCGTTGTGCCGGAAGTGAATCACCACGTCAGCATCCCTCCCTCCACTCCCCAGCGCCCATCTCACTGCCTCCGCCACCGCTGGCTCGAACAAACCTCCTCTCCTGTTTCCATTCCACTCATCTCTACCCAACCTACCGACACCAACCCACGCCAACCCAAGCCAACCTAGCACCACACCAGCATGACAACCCAACCCAGGCCACTCACCCGCACCCCTCCACTCACCCGCCGTGGTGGAAGTGAATCACCACGTCGGCGTCCTTCCCTCCGCTACCCAGTGCCCATCTCACTGCATCCGCCACCGCTGGCGTGGGCAGCAGCAGCAGACAGTAAACCTCCTTCCCTCTTTCCATTCCAATCGCAACCCCTACCACCCACCCACGCCCTACCACCCTCACACATCACAACCCTCAAGCACCCTCCTCCACACGCCCCACCACTCACCCGCCGTGCCGAAAGTGAATCACCACATCGGCGTCCTTCCCTCCACTCCCCAGCGCCCATTTCACTGCATCCGCCACCGCTGGCGTGGGCAGCAGCAGCACGCGCGCGATCTCTCCAAACAGGTTGGGGCGAGAGTTGGGGTCCCAAGGGAGGCCCATGATGGCCTGTGCGCTCTCCCGCATGGATGGGTGCAGGTTCTTGAGAAAGGTCTGAATGCCCACTGAATCCAACGCATCATCGAAACTGGAGAGGGGGCAGGGGAGAACGCAGGGGAAGGACAGTAGGAGCCCATTATGGCATGTGCTCTCTGCCGCATCGTCGAGTGCAGGTTCTTGAGGAAGGTCTGAATGCCCACCGAGTCCAATGCATCGTCCAGACTGAAAGGGAAGAGGGGAGAACGGGATGCAGCAGGAGTGGGGGTTGTGAGCACGCGCCCAGGATGGCGTGTGCTCTCTCCCGCATGGGCGGGTGCAGTGTTTTGAGTCGTCTCAAAACACTTCTTCAATTTTGAGACGTCTCAAAACACTTCTTCAATTTTGAGACGTCTCAAAACGCCCAGGATGGCGTGTGCTCTCTCCCGCATGGCCGGGTGCAGTGTTTTGAGGAAGGTCTGAACGGGTACCGAGTCCAATGCATCGTCCAGACTGGGGTGGGGTGAGGAGAGAGGGGGAACAAAGGGAAAGTAAGGGGAGAACCAAGGAAGAGGAAGGTGAGAGGAGGGGGAAGCAAGGGGGAGGACAGTGAGAAGGAGGGGACAGAAATGGGCCAATCAAAGGCAGGTCTTCTACTCCAAAACCTTCTCTCTCACATGCACACGCACACACCAGGTAACGGGCTTCTGCCACGTGGACCAATCATCATAAGGTGACTCTCGAGGTGACCAATCAAAGGCGCTTCTTTTACTCCCACTGCCGCTGCTCACTCATATGCACTCATGCACGCACCAGATAATGGGCTCCTGCCACGTGAACCAATCAGCACACATTGTGCGCGACCTCGCTCGGTTGGCAAACGAGTCCGTCCTGACCACCAGAGGCCGCCTGTAGCGCCGCTCGCAGTCATGCTGATACCAGAGGTGTCTCAACTCGAGCATGGAGAAGACTTCCGGGGAGAAGGCGAGATAGTCCTTCCATAGCCGCTGCCCCACTGTCTTGTTGCTCTCCATCAGTGGCCGCGTGCCACTGGGGGTGCAAGAGGGGAGGGGGGAAAGGGAACGGGGAGAGAAACGTGGTGGGTGGTGAGTGGTTCGCAGCATGAGTGGCCGTCTGTGGCGCTCCTCACACTCGTGCTGGTGCCAGAGGTGTCTCAACTCGAGCATGGAGAAGACTTCCTGGGAGAAGGCGAGATAGTCCTTCCATAGCCGCTGCCCCACTGTCTTGTTGCTCTCCATCAGTGGACGTGTGCCACTGGGGTGGAACAGGGACAGGGGAAAGATCGGACGAGAGAGCAATGAGGGGCAGGGGGAAGGGGAGGGAGGCAGAGGTGGGTGGTGAGTGAGTGTTGAGCAGCAGTAGGTGCACGTGGTGGAGGTACCAGAGCTGCCTGCGCTCCAGCATGGAAAACACTTCGGGGGAGAAGGCGAGGTAGTCCTTCTGAGGTGACTTTTGAGTCGACTCAAAAGTAGCCTCTGCCCAACCGTCCTGTTGCTCTCCATTACTGGACGTGTGCCGCTGTGGGGCGGGGAGGACATGGGGAATCGCTTATAGTTCACTCACTAGTTCTAGCCGACTACATTAGAGAGCGGTTGAGCATGAGTGCAAGTTCCGCGGCTGTGAGGATCTCATAGAGGCTGTTGCGCGGACCACCGCACTCCACCACTGCCCACCACACCAGACCCAATCACACCACGCACCCCACTGCACCTCACCACATCACTCACTAGTTCTCGCCCTCAATACTAGAGCGGTTGAGCATGAGAGCAAGCGCCGGGGCTGTGGGAATCTTCTACAGGGTGTTCCCCAGCTCACCGCGATTCACCGCAGCCCACCCCGCCAGACCCCACCGTACCTCACCAGACCACACTTCACCGCACCGCAGCCCACCTCACCGCATCTCACCCACATAACTCACTAGTTCTTGCCAACGATAATGGAGCGGTTGAGCATGAGAGCAAGAGCCGGAGCCGTGGGGATCTTGCACAGGTTGTTCCCTAACCAACCGAACTCCACCACAGCCTACCCCACCACACCCCACCCCACCTCACCATATCCCACCACATTCAACCCCCCAACTCACTAGTTTTCCCCCACGATAATGGAGCGGTTGAGCATGAGAGCAAGAGCCGGAGCCGTGAGGATCTTATACAGGTTGTTGCCTAAGCCCTCGTGCTTGCCATAGCCCAGTACGAAGCTCCTCTGACAGAACTCGTGAGAGGGCAGCGCACGCAGGGCAGACGCACCTGCAGGGGCAGGGAGGGAGGAAGGTAGGGGCAGAAGAGAGAAGGGACGACGAGAAAGGAGGGAAGCAAGAATGTGGAAAACAGAATAGGGGGTCATGCTGTGAGGTGTCTACTTTTAGGGCGCCTCAAAAGAAAACAGAAAGGGGGGTCATGCTGTGAGGATGCTGTAGAGGTTGTTCCCTTCCCAGCCCCTCGTGCTTGCCATAGCCCAGCACGAAGCTCCTCTGACAGAACTCGTGAGAGGGCAGCGCACGCAGGGCAGACGCACCTGCAGGGGGGACGCAGCGGGTGGGTTTGAGGATGAGATTTATACATACATATGCATATACATATACATATACATATACATATACATATACATATACATATACATATACATATACATATACATATACATATACATATCGCATATAAATAATCACCACGAACCTTACCACCACACCACCCACCGTGAACCGCCAGGTGTCGCTCAATCATTCGCCGCAGCTTCAGGCTCGCCTGGTCCGTGCTGCCAGCTGTCGCCTCGCCCATCTCCGCCACGTTGGCACATGCCTTGTCCGCCCTCCACCTCGGCTCCGGGGGATCAAAGGGCGGCTCAGAGGCCCCTCCTCCTCCTGCTGCTCCTCCTCCTCCTCCTCCTCCTCCCCTTCCTGCTGCATGTCTCATCCGCCACAGAGCCTTCAAACGCTCTTTCTTCTTCTCCTTGCCTCGTCCGGCCTTCTTTTCCTTCTTTGCCTTGAGCTTGCTTCGCCCCTGGGTCTTGCCCCCTCCTGACTTGTGCTTCCTTTCCTCCTCCTCCTCCTCCTCCTCCTCCTCCTCCTCCTCCTCCTCCTCCTCCTCCTCCTCCTCCTCCTCCTCCTCCTCCTCCTCCTCCTCCTCCTCCTCCTCCTCCTCCTCCTCCTCCTCCTCCTCCTCCTCCTCGTCTGCACCCATTCCCTTGAACCCAATAAGCTTGCCAAAATCGCCCATACTGCGGCTGCCACCCCGTCCCGCCCCAAACCCCGCTTCCTCTAAATCATCGTCCAGTTGCTCCTCCTCTGCTTCCCCCGCCTCCTCCTTGTCTGCACCCACTCCCTTCAAGTCAACGAGGCTGCCCAAGTCACCCATACTGCGACTGCCATTGAGACTGCCATACCTTCCCGCCCCAAACCCCGCTTCTTCCAAATCGTCTTCTAGCTCATTCTCTGCTTCCTGTAACCCCGCCTTTGCTCCCCCCTCCACTTCCCCCTCTGCTTCCCCGTCTGTTTCTCCCTCTGCTTTCTTGAGTTTCAATCCAGCTACAGCGCTGCTCTTTCTCGCCCCAAGTCCCCGTTCTTCCATCTCACCCTCAAGGCCCCTCCCATCGTTCCACCTGCTTTTATCCCCACTGTCCCCCTCGCTTCCCTCCTCCTCCTCCCCTTCCTCGTCCTCTTCCTCCTCTTCCTCCTCCGCCTCCTCCTCCTCCTCCTCCTCCTCCTCTTCTCCCTCTTCCCCAATATCATAATCGTCCAGCCCGCCTTTCCCCTCCCCTTCGCCTTCTCTTTGCCTTTTCCCTAATCCCCCCTCCACAAGTTCCTTCTCATATCCCCCCTTCTCCTCTTCCCCCTTCTCCTCTTCCCCCTTGCCCTCCTTGGACCCTTTCCCTCCTCTCTCATTGTAATCCCCTCCCTCGTACCCGCCCTCCCTACCCTCTTCCTCCTCCTCCCCAACCTCTTCCTCCTCCTCCCCACCCTCCCCCTCCTCTTTCGCACCCTCTCCCTCCTCTTCCCCATCCTCTCTTTCCTCGTCCCCATCCTCTCTTCCCTCCTCCCCAACCTCTTCCCCCTGCTCCCCACCCTCTCCCTCCTCCTCCCCATTCTCTCCCTCCTCCTCCTCCTCCCCATCCTTCCTCTCTCGCTCACCACTCTCGCCGCCTTCCACATCTCCCCCAGCCTTCACTCTACCCACGCTTACCCTCTCTCTTCTACCTCTCACCCCTCCCTTTTCTCCCTGAATTCTCGCTCCTTCTCCTTCCTCCCCTCTGCCTGCCTGATGACCATCACTTTCAACCCGTTCCTCCCCTTTTCCTTCCCCTTCCCCTTCCCCGTCCTTCTCCTCCCCTTTTTCCACTCCCCCGCTCTCCCCGTTCCCCTTCCCCCTAACTGAAACCCCCCCATCCGCAACCTCCCCTTCCGCTTCCGCCTTCCCCTGAGCACCACTCTCAAATCTCCTCCGGTCCCCACCCCCCTCCACCTCGATTCCCCCTTCCCCCTCAACTTCCCCCGTCCCCCCAATTCCCCCTTTCCGCTCGGCACTCCCCCCTTTGCCACGCCTAGGCCACAGCTCTCCCGCATCCCGCCAAGACATCTCCTGCCCGGGCCACCCGCCCTCCAGCATAGCGCCAACCATTGCGAGCTGCTCCTCCCGCCCATCCTCCCGCCCATCCTCCCGCCCATCCTCCTCCCGCCCATCCCCCTCCCAATCCCCATGCTCCCTTCCGTCCTCGCTCTCATTTCCCTCCTCACGCTCCTCCCCCTGCACTCCCCCGCTCCCGTCAATCGCATTCCTCACACTCTCTCCCACGGAACTGCTACCACTCCCCTCCTCATCCTCCTCGTTCCGCTCCTCCTCCTGTTTCCCCGCGCGCCCCTCTTTTTCCCGAGCCTCCTGTTTCCCCTCCGCCTTGTCAATCCCGCCAGGATTTGAAACGGAGTTATCCCCTCCAAATTCTCCCTCCGCTTGCCTGCCTTCGGTCCTTCCTCTCCCGGACTTTCCGGACCCTTCGCCCTCGAAATTCGCAGCTAGCCATCTCTTTTTTATCTCAGCCGTTGGATGTGTCAGGCGATCCCCACCGTAGCTGATGTGACCCTCGTGTTGCGCGCTTTCCGGCCCAGATTCGGTAACGGTCACTATATTCTGATCTTCCGTTCCTCGTTGAATTTCGCCGTCTACAGTCAAGTGTGACAGCTTCGCAATGTGGTTACCCGATTCATGGAGTTTCGTATGCCCGAGCAGATGAAACAGGAAGGCTGCGAAGAAAATCGCAGTCCATGTGACTATATTGAGATTGTTACCACACAGACTCGAAAACCACCCTCGGTGCTGGTGTCTCGTCTTGCTGTGCGAATTCAGGTGAACGTGCGAAATCGTGTGCGACGAGGCGTGCGAACGAGTGTTCGGAGGACTTTGCGACAGGCCATGCGAGTGAGCACCTGGGGGTGAGCGAAGGTGAGTGCACGGCGGGAGGGATTGTGACTGTAAGCGAGTCGGACGCTCTTGGCGGATCTTCGCAGGGTCCTTCACGACTACGGCCGGACCCATAATGTTATTATATCGCGCGACGCGGCACTTGATTCGAGGACGAGGACGTTGCTCGGAATAAATAAATGTGGTCGCGTTAAGACGTCAGTCAAAATAAACAGTGCTAACGTACAGCTCGGTAGACGGATGCCGGCCAGCTGGCAGGAGCTATGGTGAACCTAGACAACTACGAGGCGATCCGTTCCATTTGTTTTCCATTGATGCTGCTCACGGAAAGTCGTTTCAGCAGCAAGGCCGGAACGGAAAGCAAGCTAGGAGATTTGCCTCATGCTGCTGCCGACCTTCACATTCTGGAATCGCCATTACCAGCAGAGACTGAACCAGAATACATGTTCGTCGTGAGTCGTGATTTGTAATCAACGGCACATAGCCCTGGGCATTCCGAAGCAAGCAGCAAATTCCAGGCTTGGGTCTGGTTCGGACAGCCTGCTGGTTTGACACTGGTCTGGACTCAGCTTTGAGATTCCCAACAAGTGTCTGGTTTGGGCACGTCCTTCGGCTCGGCACAAAAAACTCTTCGTTCGGTTCGGCTGAGCCTTTGATGGGAGGTTGTACATTGGTGTGTCTGGCGATTTGGCCCTGACAGATTTGGTCCAGGGGGTTCGAGCTTGGCGGGTCGAAGCCCGAATTCGTCGGCATGGATCTCGGTGTATGGGCAGCTGCACAGACATGGGATGGTGGGATTCATGAAGCATTACGTGAGGCTGTCACCACCAGTCACGACAGTCGCACGCTTGTTTGGCGAAAGGTGCGGGAGGTGAACTCAGTAGGACGCGGTTCGCAACTGGGGAATATGTGCCGCTCGAGTTTTGGGGAATAAGCGGATGGTCACTAACAAAGGCCTCGATAACAGGTACGGTAAAGTAAAAGGAAAATCGTGAACGATCAGCATTTATAATGGTTTGTTATCACGTCTGGTTATTTACTGGAAAATAATCGAGCAAGATGAAGGATTTCTTATTCATCGGCTATATTACAACTTCATTTTGCAGACGCAATAAAACAAATTAATGCAGTGATATGTGCTCTGATTTATCTGTGGGATTTGAAGACATCCTATGACATGGAGGATGCACATGGAGGTTGTTCCTGTCCATGTGACTGGTTTTATATATATTAAACAAACAGACAGACTTCTGTTATGGTTAATACATCAAGAAGGTGGATTAGTAAGCAACAAAGCGTCTGTGTGAATTTAGGGTTGTTACTAATCGAGGATTCTACTAAAGGCGCATATTCTATCGTCATGTCATGACACGTCGACACCTTATCAGTAAGCATGCTACGTGTGATCTCAACAAGCAGCGATAGGTAAGGAGAGTGCTGCACAGAATTTCTGGCCGTCGATGAGAAATCACGAGGTGGTGATTGCTGCCCGCTGCCGTGGCGACCATTTTGTGGAGAGCCCCTATCACCACCAATAAGCTGGCGTCAACAACCCGAATCGCTATGGCGACCGCCGTCCTTTCGAAACGCCTTCAATACTTTTGTTACCACATGTATGCTTTCTTGGGCAGCCTCTGGTCCAGAACACCAGCGAATCAGCGAGTTTGTGGTGTCATCGGCCTTGAGGAATGTTTTTATTTTATAAGTTTCTGTCACGAATCGGGCTACTCATACTGAGTGCATGAAGACCGAACCCTTTGTGCATAAGTCAGTGTCACTCACGACGAAGGGAATGTTTGTGTCGAACTCCCTGAAAGCCATGTGATGTAGGAGGA